GAATCCTCTGGGTTCAATACTACCTGTGTGACCTTGAGCAAGACACTTAACCTCTTTGTGCCTCAGTTTCCTCATTTGCAAAATGAGGTTCAGACTGGATAGCCCTTAATGCCCTTTCCAAAGCTCTCAGTGTAAGCTCCTGTGACTAGGGCAGAGTAAAGTTCGACTCTCTTCCCTAGTCTTGGACAGTAGCCCTTTTTTGTTGCCTACTAAAAGTAAGTTCGATTTTTTTGGCTGCCTGATGGTATAATGTTGACAGATTGGTTGGTACTTTCCCAGCAAAGTCTTCCTTGACACACCCAGGCTTTACTGTTCTCTTCCTCCTATTTTCCTACAGTGCAGTCTGAGCCTCCTCTTTACCCTCCACAGTCCACAGCTGTATAAATTGAATCCCAATCCATTCCTTATCTGTGTAAATCATATTGCCCATTGAAAAGCTAAGTAAGCTCCTTGAGAATAGGGAGGGGATCATTTCTGGTTTGGTTCCTAAGTGCCCTCCCCCATTAAGGGGTCTCGAAAGGTACATGACTTGCCCTAGGTCTCGATATGCCTCTTGCCCTTGTAATTTCCTAGAGAGAGAGAGAGAGAGAGAGAGAGAGAGAGAGAGAGAGAGAGAGCCGGGCCTCCGAGCCACCCTGGCAGCAAGGGGCATGGGGACTATAGGAGTGGTGGGGGCTAAGAGAGAGTCCTCATTTGCAAGGCAGGTCACCATACAAAGTGGGGCTTCGAAGACCTAGGACAGCCTTTCGGCCTATGCTGAGTGTATGAAGGTCTTAAAAGCTGAGATCATGGGGCCATGAGGTCAGGAAGGATGACTAGTCTACACTAGGAAGGAGAGATCCCCAAAGAGATTCTCCTTCTCTGTGGAAAGTAAGGACCAGGATCACATGATCAGAGTCCAGTAGAGACTGACCATTCCAGGTACCACCTACTCCATCCCCCGGCCCAGCCCAGCCCAGTTTAGGTAGGGTTCAGGCAAGCTGAGATGGCTGAGTGAGATGCAAGGCGAGCCTATTACTCTCTCCTCTTCAGAATTCCCTCTGTCACAGAAACCTGCACGCAGACTCTGACCTCTCCTCTGGGTCCTCCAAGCCTCCAAACTGAAGGAAGGTGTATAAAAGGGCAACAGTAAGAGAAGGAAAGGTTAAGGTCCTTCCCCAAGGCATCCAGGGACATAGCCAGTCTTAAAGAGGCTGGAATCAAATTTCCAATACCACCATTCTCTAAGGCACACTCATCAGTGTGAGAGGTACTTTAAGTTCCATTTCTAGTCCTAACCTCCTTGGTAGCCTTCCACCCCTAGCCACACCTAGTAAGACAACCAAGCCTCAGGAGTCCTATTCCCACTGCCTAAGGAGACAGGCAGAGGGGGCTCGGGAATCTCCTCTCTACACTGGGCCCCCCATTTCTGCACTCACTGAATAGAACGTATGTATGTGGAGAAAACGCTCTAACCACTCGCTGTACAATCTTGGGCTCGGCATTCCCCATCTTTGGGCCTGAGTTTCCTCTTCCAGGAAAAAGAAGGAATTAGACTAGATGGTCCCTTCAGACTCTGACAGTCCAAGTGAATAAGGCCTCTTCGGCCTCTGACATTTGTCTCTGAGGTCTAATATTCTAAGGGCCCCTTGTGGCTTTGGCTTTCTATGAGTCAATGGAATTCAAGAATTCATTCTTCAGAGTTCCAAGTCCTAGGAGCTGAGGACACTTACAGCATGCCTGCTCCTTGCAGATTCAGCTGGGATAGGAGGAGGAAAGAAATCGCTTTCCTGGCTGCAGTTTGTCAGAGATGGGAGGGGCCTTAGAGTGCATCTAGTTCATCCCCGCCATTTTAGCAAGAAAGAAACTGAGGCCTAGAGAGAAATAATTTGCCCAAAGTCAGCCCACAAGTTGGTGACGGAGCTGTGTTCTCCTGACTGCCAGGCCAGGGCTCTTTTTACCACACCCTCTATGAGCACCTGCTAATGCAAGGCACTTCTCGGAGATACCAAGCTATTGGGTCCTTTGAGGTTAAATAAAACCAAGGAATTCAGCATACACTAGCTGCTCTGAATAGAGGTGGGAACATTCAGGGAGGTTGGAGCAGGGAGGAAATGTTCGTATGACTGAAAAAAAAAATCCTTTAAAGAGTCTCCACAGTACACTCCTGAACTAGAAGGACCCTCAGGTCATCTATTCAAAAGTCTAAAACAGAAAGGATCTTGCTCATAGTAAAATTCACAGCAGAGATTCTAATATCCTTGGAAATCAGAATTTCCAAATCCTTTGGATATAAAGGCCACTTGCAAATTGGGTCCTCTAAACCACTTCTAACTCACTTCTAACCCTCTTCTAACTCTCTCATTCACCTCCTTCCCCCCCCACCCCCGACTCCATATCCAATCTGTTGCCACTGCCTATCTATCTTATCTTCTTGACATTTCTCTCTTCTCCTCTGACATTGCAACCAGCCTGGTGCAGGCCTCTTCACCTCACACCTGGACTAGTGAAGACTTATGGTTGGTCTTCCTTCTACAAGTCTCTCCCTACTCAGCTGTCAAAGTGATCTTCCCAAAGTACAGGTCTAGCCAGGTCACCAGGTCACCCTCCTACTCAATAGCCTCCTATGTCTCCCTATCACCTCCAAGATCAACTGTAAAATTCTGTTTGGTGTTCAAAGCTTTCATAACTTCTCCCCTCTTCCCCAGCCTTTCCAGTCTTCTTACACCTTATCCCGCACCTTCCCACCTACTCTGAGATCCAGCAACACTGGCTTCCTTGTTGCTCTCCTAACCAGAAGCTTCATTTCCCTGTTGACTCAGTATAAATTGTTTTTGTTTCAGTCATGTCTGACTCTTCGTGACCCCATTTGGGGTTTTCTTGGCAAAGTGCTTGGCCATTTCCTTCTCCAGCTCACTTTATAGATAAGAAAACTGAGACAAACAGAGTTAAGTGAGTTGCCCAAGGTCACACAGCTAGTAAATGTCTGAGGCCAGATTTGAATGCAGGTCTTCCTGACTCCAGGCCCAGTGTTCTATCCACTGAGCAACCTTGCTGCCTTTCATCTCCCAACTCTGGTCATTTTTACTGGCTAAGGTGTGGGATGTAGAAGGCGGATGGAGGATGTCAAAAGGAGTCTAATTAATTGGAGAGATATAGGAGAAGTTGTGACTAGGTCATCTGTGTATTCATCATCATCCCTGAAACCACATGAAATTTTCAACGGGAAAAAGATAGATTCAGCAAGACATGGGTAGAGAGAAACACAAATAGAGACACAGAGGGAGACAGAGACAGAGATATTCTTAGGTAAGAAAACTGGTTTCTCAAAACGAAATGAGATTTGAAAAGAAAAGGAAAAAAAAGCTCACCATGGTCTGTTTATCATCATCCTGACTAAAATGTTAACTAAAAAAAACCCCAAACCATTATCCAGAAAAACCCATAGTTGAAGATTGTATGGAAGTGTGGAAAGATCTCTGGCCAGAGAGTCAGGAGCCCTAGATGCTGATCTTTACTGTGTCACTAATTCTGGATGATCTTCCTTTTTCTGGACCTCACTATTGTCATCTGTAAAATGGGGACCTGGGCTACATGAATGTCCAGCTTTGTCTTTCGGGGAATTCATTTTTTCGTTTTTCTTTTTTTTTTAAATGAAGTACGGCCTTCTCACACAGAGGAGAGAAATATCACAGGCAAAGGTGAGCAGCAAGAATCAGCCTGCTTTGGGGCTTTGTTGGGGGGGCGGGGGGGACGGGTGGCTGGGAAGCTGTTGATCACAAGCAGCTCTGGCAGAGGGAACAACCTATTAGAGGAAATCCGAGTCCCGGCAGCGCAGCGCTGGCCATTTGGGGCTAATGCAAAGAAAGGTTTGGCTCCACCCAGCCCTTTGCTTCAAATGGGCCTCTTGGCCCCGAGCCCTTCAATTCAAAGTACCCTTTTCTGGAGCCGGGGAAGCAGAACACAGCCTGAGAAAAAAGACGCTATCAGTGCCCGCTCTCACCGCGTTATCAATATTTAATCCACATGATTCACATTTCATCCAGACGCTGGGGGCTGGTTAGATGGAGTTCAAAGCCCCTTTACTGACATTACCTCCGGAATCCTCACCGCTCCTTCTCCTCATCCCGTGGGAGAGGAGGGGAGAAGCAGGATTGAGTTTAGTGTGCGGTGGGAGGCGGGGAAGGGAAGAAAAAGAACCAATGAGTGAGAGGAGAATCCGCAGAGAGGCCCAGAGCGCAGCTCTATCCCTGGGGAGTGTGGGCACCCTACGGACACCTGATCAAATAATGCTGGGGGGTGGGGGGTGGGGGGTGGGGGACAGCAGCAAATAGGAGTGAGAGAGGGAGAAAGAGCAAAAAGTAAGGGGGAAGGGGGAAGGAGAGTATGAGGAAATGGGGAGAGGAGAGACAGCAAGAGGAAAGAGGGGAGAGGGGGAGGGGAGGGGGACGGGAGGGAGAGCAGAAGGAAATGGGGAGAGGTGAAAGGAAAAGAGGGAAGAGGAGAGAGAGCAGAAGGAAATGAGGGGGAAGGAGAGACAGCAAGAGGAAAGAGGAGAGAGGTAGGAAAAGGGGGAGGGGAGGGAGAGCAGAAGGAAATGGGGGAGAAGAGAGAGGAGGGGGTAGGGGAAGGAGAGCAGGAGGTAAAAAGGAGAAAAGGATGGGAAGCTGAATGAAAAGAGGAAGCAGGAGGAGGGAGAACAGGAGGAAAAGAGGGGAGGCAGGAAGAGGGAAGAAAGGGGAGGGAGATCAGGAAGAAAAGAAGAAAGGAAAGGAGAATGGGTGAAGGAAGAAGGGGAAGATGAAAGGGAAGAAGGGAAAAGAAGAAGCAAGGGAAGTCAGATAAGAGGAAAAAAGGGGGAGGAGAGAGAAAAGAGAAAAGAATTGAGACCAAGAAGGATTGTGAGAGGAGGGGAAAAGGGGGAAGGTTCTTCAGTCATCAAGTCCCACTTCTAGCCAAAGTTAAGAACCTTGCTGTTCGAGGGTCTTTAAATGACCACAGCTTTTCATAAGGGAGCTTACCTGAAGAGTTGGGGCTGGGACTGGTCTACTCTCCTTTCCTCTCCTCTCCTGCTCCCAGAAAGGTCTGTCCTCCTCTCAGGAAGTATCTATGCTTTATTTTTCCAGCTGAAGTTCCTCCTGGATGCTTGTCCTACGTTGGGAGGGGCTGACTTGGCTCTACCCACAGCTGATTTATGACTTGCTCTGGGGAGGGGCCCTGGGATGCCACAGGTAAAGGCTAGTTGTCAAATCACTTTCTGAATGATGTTCCAATTTTAACTTTCAAGGGCGTAATGAGATTAGATGTACTCTTTGGAGTATAGGATAGGCAAGGAGAGATAGGATTGCTTTGAGTTGTGTAGTCTTGGGCAAGACACAGACTCTTTCTCAGTTTCCTTCTCTTTAAAATGAATAAAATACTAGCTATGTGACCCTGGGCAAGTCACTTAACCCCATTGCCTAGCCAAAAAAAAAAAAAAAAACAAACCCAAAAAGTCAAATGAATAAAATAGAATAAAAAATCTCTCCAAATTCTTCCCAGTTCTAAGTATGTGTTCTGCACTTGATTTTGATATCTCCTCTTTTCAAAGAGCTTAGAATTTAGGATGGATCAAATTGGAATTTGGTCAATAAAGATCCCTTCTTTCTTTCCTTCCCTCTTCTTGATGCTGACTTCTGTCTCTCTCACTCAGACAGCGGTATGGTATAGGACTTGATTGGGATTGTCAAAGTTCAGGGACCTGGGCTCACCCTTTGAGAGATGACTAGCTGGCTGACGTACGGAAGGGACAAGCCCATGTTAGATATGAATAGCTGAGCTACCTGTCACATAGGTCATTAGCCAATTCAAACTCTAAGTCACCTTTCTGGTGACAGAGTTCATATCTCAGGAACCATGAAAGTCATACTGAGTGCTGACATCAGTAACTTTAATTCAACAAGTGTTTGATAAAGTGCTCCTTGGGGGCCCAACACTGTGGAACAGACAAGAGAAGGAGAAACTTAAACTGGGCTTAGTGGGCATCCTGTAATCTCGTTGAGGAGTCAACTTAGACACAAAATAATTACAGAAAAATACAAGCCAGTACATAAGCTAGGGCTAACACCCTCTGCAAAATGAGGAAATTGGACTAGAAGAAGGTCTCTAAGATCCTTTCCAACTTTGATACTCTGTGGTTTAGGTTCTAAAGGCCCCTTTAGCCCTGACGTTCTAGGCTCTTTGTCTCCTCACTCCCCTTCTGAGAATTCCTAGTTTCCTTCAAAGCTTATGTGAGACCTTTCATGATCCCCTTGGCTGTTAGTGCCTTTGCTCCCTCCGCAAATTATGTTGTATCTATGAGCTATAAAGACATAAACACATCTCTTGTGTATATTTTACATATGTGTATAGGCTTATATACATATGTTTATATATACATATATGAGAATATGTAGTATATGTGTATGTGTTAGTATGTATATAGTTTATATATGTGTGTGTGTGTAGACAGATAAATAGAGAGATAGATAGATAGACAGACAGATAGATAGATAGATAGATAATCTCCCCTGATAGAATGAAAGGTTTTAGAAGGTAGGGACTGTTTATTTTTATTATTTCATCTCCAGGGCTATAACAGCTCCTGGCAGTAGTAGGCACTATTAAAAAATACTTGCTGTTTGATTAATGATTCATTTCTAAATTGTATATCATGGAGTCCTGGCCATGAGCTTAACAAATCCCTTAGGAGAGGTCTCTTCTGATAAGCAAGAGCAGAAAATTAAGACAACTGTCTGTATTATTTGAACACGCAGGGTGTGATGCAATAGAAAGAACACAGAGATGGAAGCCAGGAGACCAGGTTTCCAGTTCTGATTCTACTCTTAACTTTCTGTGTGAATTTGGCCAAAGCAGCTTCCTCTCTCTAGGCTTCTGTTTCCTTCTGGTTCTGACATTCTGCGAACCTAGTAAATAAACCCCTTCATCCCCAGCTATCTCAGGTCAATGTAATCCCCATTGTCCTATGTTTCATGTCCCAGACAGTGAACTCTGTGAGAGGAAGGACTTGTCTCATCTGAATTTTGTATCTCCCAATTTCCTAGCACAGTATTCTGAGCCCAAGTGCTAAATAAATGTTTGTTGAGTGAGTTTTGCTGTGTTGGTGGGAAGACCAAGGCAGACACAAGATGTTAGTAGCAGTTATCCAAATCTTAGCTCTTTGCTTTGTGATGACTATGGGGATGTGACCATGAGTAGCTGAATATGGATGATGCCAGTTATTGGATTTTGGCTTGAACCTGGCCTTATACTACCCACTGAAGTAATGATGGTATATCTTTATTGAGTACCAAGTGTGTGCACAGTACTATATTGGGTTCTATAGGGGACACAAGAAAAGGAGAAAACATATTCCCTCTCCTACATATCCTCAAGTTGAAGAGAGCTTATAGTCTTAGTAAGGAGATGTGGCATACTATACAGAGTCATGAAACCTTAGTCTAACCCCCTCATTTTTTTGGAGGAGACAATGGACAGAGAGGAAGTAAGTGACTTACCCAGAATGAGTTAGTGACGGAGGTGGACATAGAAACCAAGTGTCCTGCTGCTAGACCAGGACTTTTCCATTGAAACAGGTTATAATAATTCAAGGCAGTCCCTGCTCCAGTAAACAGTGAGGGACACAGGCAGTCAGGGCTGTGGACACTTGGAGGAGAGGGAAATCCTCAAGGTCTGGAGAAATTGAGGAGGCCACTCACCTTGGGGAGTGGGAGAGAACCTGAGAGTAGATATGATAAAGCACGAGCTTTCAATGAACATTTCAATGGCTATTCATTGCCAAGTAAAATGTTTTGGCCTGGCATTCAATCTGATTTCATAGTTTGGTTCTAATTTTTATTTTGAGTCTGTATGTCCCACTGTCCCCCCTCAGATAGTCTATACCCTCAACAAATTCTACTCCTTGCCATACCCCAAATATGCCCTGTTTCTGGAACATACCTTCTCTTTTCAACTCTGTTGTTAATTGACTGATCAAGGCCCAGCTTAAATGCCACCTCCTCAAGGAAGCCTCTCCCTACACTGTCCCATGATCAATGTGCAGGTAGTATGTTCACCACCCTCTGTGCTTAGTCACAAGGATTTTATTTGGGCGAGTGAGTCAGAGTCAAAGCCAGAAATAGAACCCAGGAGATCTGATTTCCCACAGTCCCTTGCATCCTACTCAACCTCCAACCAGAGCAAACTTCCAATGAATAAGTCTAACCTCATCACTAATAGAAACAATTGAGCTGTATCTGATCATATAACACCTACTGACCATGACCCAATTTCAGTCAAATTCATCCCCAGGGGAGCAAGGTATGATGGAAAGAACGTGGAACCTGGAGTCAAGAAACCTCTAATGCTGCTGCTAACTCACTGTGTCACCTTGGGCAAGTCATTTGGCTTCTCAAAATAAGATAGTTAAAGTATGAAAGAATGTTCCAAATACTAATAGTAGGAGAAATTCAGACAAGCGTACCTTATGCCCAGCAAGTTGACAAAAGGGACTAGAGCAGCTAGGTGGTGAATGGATAGAATACTGGGCCTGGAGTCAGGAAGATTCATCTTCCTGAGTTCAAATGAGATCTCAGACACTTACCAGCTGCCTGACCCCCGGGCAAATCACTTAACCTTATTTGCCTCAGTTTCCTCATCTGTCAAGTGAGCTAGAGAAGGAAATGGCAAACCACTCCAGTACCTTTGCCAGGAAAACCCCAAATGAGGCCACAACTGAATTGACAGAACAACAATGGAATAGTCAATATTGTAGGGGTTGTAGAAACACAGACACATTAATGCATTATTGGTGGAACTGTGAAATAGTACAACCAATTTGCAAAGCAATTTGGAATTAGACAAATAAAGTGACTAAAATGCCCATACCCTTTGACCAAGAGATTCTACTGCTAGGCATATACATGGAGGTCAATGACAAAAAAAATAGACTCTATATACACCAAAATATCATCTTTTGTGGAAGCAAATAAGTGAAAACAAAGTAGAAGCTCATCATTGGAGTATACATTCCTGAACCAATATGGTGGCTCATGAATGTAATGGGATGCTACTGTGATATAAAGAAATGATGCATATGATAAATGCAAAGAAGCATAGACCACAAAACTATTAAAAAGTGAATGTGGCAAAATTACAAAAAACATGCACGGCCACAGAGGAAAGACATGAGAAGACATCTTTCTCCACTCCTTTGCAAAGGTCCATGGGTGTGGACGGTTAAACATAATGTTAGTCTTCTTTTGATGTATTGACCGGTTTTGTTGAATTTGTTTTTCTCTCTTTCCCTTTTTTCTGTTAATAAGTTATTTGTCCGCAGTGGATAGAGCTCCAGCCCTGGAGTCAGGAAGACCTGAGTTCAAATCTGGCCTCTGACACTTACTAGCTGTGTGACTCCGAGCAAGTAACTTAGTCCCAATTGCCTCAGCAAAAAAAAAAAAAAAAAGTTATTTGTCACAGGGCATGGCTCTCTGAGAGGAGGTGGGATACAGGGGAAATCTGGCTGATGTAAAAACAGAAGATACCAATAAAAATCTAGATGAGAGAGTGGAATTGAGGTCTCTTCCAGCTTGGAATAGAGTACCTTTCCTCTCTCTCCCATATCCCATTCTTGAAATACTCCTCCCTCACCTCTGTCCATTGAAGCAATATATCCTTTCTTCAAGGCCCAGTTCACACACCACCTCCTCCTCCATGAACCTTTCTCTGATCCTCTCTCCCCAGCTCCCCTCCCTTCTTCCTCAAATATCTTCTAGCATTTCTTCTAGCTCTCCTTTGCCCCATCACAATCTGCCTTGTTTCATATGTAGAGAATCACAGATTTTAGATCATAGATTTAGAGCTGGAAGAAGACCCTTAGATTTCATTGAAATGCATTTTACAAAAAAACTAACTTGCACAGAAGATAAATAGCTTGCCCAGAGTTACATTTTGGGGTTTTATTTTTAATGCACGTCAGGTCATATCCAATCACCATTCATCTGTAAGCTCCTTGAGAGCAAGGATAATGTCATTTTTCATCATCTCTCTCTCTCCAGGGCCTGGCAGAGCCTCACCTATGGAAAGTACTTGTTTAAAGTCCCTTCAAGCTCTAAATTCTATGTTCTG